CTACCCCCCCCCCCCCCCGGGATTATTCTTCCACGTTCTTAGTATTGATTTTATAAATATGAAATGTACATTCGTATAGGACCATTGCAAGATTGTTTTTGTGTATATATGTGTATGTAGTATTTTTGTCAAATTCTAATGTTGGTCCAATGCTGTTTGCATAGAAATGTACACTTAATTTAGTCTCGCAAATGTGGCCATCGCCCATATAATAAATGAATTTCAATTTACAAACACATTTCTTTTTATAGGCCAAAATATATGGACCAGAAGTTCTTTTTCGAGCAGGAATTTGAGTTCAAAATGAGAAATGAAATACGACAAAAAGACTTTTACCGTAACATATAATTAATGAGGTGTGGTTATATATCCGCTTATAGCATGTATAGCGGCTTCAACTAAAATCACACATGCGTGTTCAATGAATGGTATATATCTGTTTTAAATTTTATTTTTATTAAGAAAATCTCGGAAGATAAGCTTGATATTATAATTAGTACCTGTATTGGTAGACTATAATTTAAGACGGCGCTTTATCGACCACCTTTTTGTAGGGTTTTATAAGATATTTCCTCTATGGTGTACAAAACGATCCAATATCTGAACTATTTAATATTTAACTCTAGTTTACACATCCCTATACAACACTTGCACATGTATTTGCAATCAACGTGGAATTAAGTATTGGGCTTATCCCGCCCGTAATATTAGCAAGTCGTGCATTTAATTTACATAACTTATTAGCATTAATTTATACAATTTCGTTTAATTCTTTGAATTATTACCCTTTATCAATAAACTTAACTAATGATCAAATTTGAAGTGCATGGACAGCATTTTGGTCAATTGAAAAAATTGCGAAATACATGTATATATATATTTCTCTTACAATCTCAGGCAATCTTTGTTGTACAAAAAACGCTATGTGTAATATTTGTGTATTTATATATTTCATTTATTTTTGTTAAAAGTGACATATATATCCGATGGGCCGGGTGTTTGAATATTTAATTGTATTAAATGTTTCGCATTGTACTGTATAACACATGTCACTATAATAAATGATTTACTTACTTACTTCTTTACTTTCTTTCGGTTTTGAAATTAATTTAATTGCTTTAAAGACATGCTTTCATTGCTGAAAAGCGTTCAAAAATCAAGCTCCCATTTTTAAGTGAAAAAAGGACAAGAACTGAACAGAATTAATATTTACTATACATGTCTCTCTCGTATGTACTAGTAACTTGTTGCAAGCTCACACTCCTCAAATAAATCATACTATATTTTAATATGGGGGATCAGTGTTCTACGAATCATTGTCATTGACATTTATTGCGTGTCGAGCGTGCACGTGCATTTACAAATACCACGATATAAAGCAACTTTCTTCAACCCGAGGGCCCAAGTTGTTAACAATTATGTTTAAAGTGTTGAAAACACTGTAAATATCAAATAGCTTAATTCATCACGGAGACATTGCTAACAGCGGACTAATATGATAGATAGAGAAGGGTAGGGATGGTGACTAATTAAAGGACATTCTTTTCTGTGCTTCTGGGTTAATGGTACATTTGAGGAACACACGAAACACAATTTTTGGGTTCTGTCCTCAAATGGCTGGTATTTTCTCATATTTTTAAACCGGAATCTCCGTCTATTTTTGTGTCTGATTTATATTTTAAAAATCGATCGTTGACCCTCCAACCCCTCCTTGAACACGAGGTCGAATGCACTTTTGAAGTACAAGCGAATACTTGGTCATGCAGCGACCGAATATCGACTCTGTCGCATTAATTGGATTCGTTAATGATCAGACTATTGGAAGGACAGGTTACTCAGGTCACAGACAACTTAACTATTTCTGGTTGGTCAAGGTGTCACATTTAATCGTCCCTATTGTTAATAACTCTGCTTATTGAGTCAATTACGGCTATTATCAAAACATCGAGAGTGTTTGAAGTGATTTCTGGCGCTTCTTCCTGTTACCGGAAACGCCCCCTTTTTTGTTGACCAACCCATCATCTTCATTAATGCTAACAATCATCATCTACAATTTCAATCACAGACTACAAAGGGTTAATTCCACCTGCCGAGGACATGACCATTTAAGATAAAAAGACGAAACAAAACGCTATGTAATTTATCCATAGCGTCATGGAATCGCAAGAAGGGCTTGCAAGAAAGCGCAATTTTGCTGTTATTAGAATTTTTTTTCTAAATTTCAATGTTGATCTTTTCAAAGCTCTTAAAAGAAGTCCAAGATTGACCTAGGACGGATAATGTCCTCCCACAAGTAAATTTCCAAATTACGACACATTTTATATACAAGGGTGTTTTCATTCAAGGAAAAAATGAAGAGCTCGCTTCTCATTCTTGTTGACCTCAAGTAAACAGGGAGCTGTCATTGGAAGTAGACATGTCCCTAACATAGATATTTTTGTTTAAAAATGGATTTAAAGATTAAACATGACCAGGTAATTTATTCCATTCATAAATCACACATCGTAGTATATTAAGCCCAAATAGTTGTTTTCTGTAGAGTGGGTCTTTTTATATTAAATGGTTCAAAGTTAGAGGTAGAATCCAAAATCGGGAAAGACCATCGATTATTCTGTGAGTGATTAATTTAAAATAATGAAGCATGTTTGTATAGTGTCCATTATTAATACATAAAAGGTTGAAAACAGAATAACATGTATAATTTAAAAAAATACGCTAGCCATCACCTCGCCCCCCCCCCCCCCATCAAAATTGATCAAAATATTGGAATTTATTTAAGTGGATATATTTTCAAAGAACATTTCAAATTAATGAAGGGCAAAAAACACAAACATAAGTAACTAATTGCGCTGTAATGTCAAATTATTATAATCTTCTTTTAAGAAGCTTAAAATACTACTTGAAATGGCATAATTGGCGACATTAGCTACTTGCGGGTCAATACGGACATACATTACTGTCCTGTGTTTCTCTGATCCCATAACCACAAGACAAGCCAAACGCGTTCCAGCTGCTATTTCGTCAGTAACAAATTTCACAGTTCTAGTCAAGCCTTGTTGCCTCATATTTCATCTATTTGTAAGTAAATACAGTCAGGTGAATTTAAAGATCCTTGTACATTGTAAGGAACAGCAACTGACATACTATTAACTGTCAACAGTTGATATTATTGTTTTCAACCTCTACTGTGATGATTTCATGATTTTTATCGATAGATGATCCTAATGCACACTTCATAGTGCAAAGCAGTCCGATTTCAATATTATATTTCTCCATCCATTTATGTATGTATACAGCCTTACTCTATAATTTCAAATCATTTGAGGACACATTCCAAATGTACACATGTCCGTTTTTGAAATCCTTTTTTACTACGATATACAAAACTGGTAGTTTTCTATCAGCTTGCAGATAAATCCCAAGAATTTTTTTTAACTATTGGTCCATGTAGCACAAAAATTTTCAACAAAGATCAAATTTTACCATTTTTATATTGACGTCTGGGTTTTCTGCTTCGAAAATTACATGCTAGAAGTCTAAATCATAAATATCAGCCAAAGAGCTCAAATTTGATCCAAGTTTTAAAACATTTTGTGCAATGCCAGTCATCTATTATAGAAGGAACACTTATTAAAATATCATCAATTCTCCATTCTTTTCGAGATAACTTTTAGAACCATACACCACACTGTAAATTATGGTCACGGCTCAAAACAAAAAGGTTAGTCTTGTCATATTTACCTAAGACAGGCCATACTTCAATGAATCTGCACTAATTAACTCTATCATAAATGACCTTAATTCCATAAAATTCTCAGTCCTCTCCACATAATAAATTGTAAACATGTACAGTCAAACCTCGTTATATTGAATCCATGGAACCAAGAAAAAACTTCGACATATCAGAGGATTCGATACCTAAAGAATAAAGGGTTGGGACTCCCAAATAACTTCGAAATTTCCATGGTATTTGAGATATCGGCGTTCAAGATACCGAAGTTCAACTGTACATGTAAAAAACTCTTCACCCTTTTCAACCTCTTTACATAATTAAAACAGAAGATCTATGTAATTAATAAACATTTATTCAGTTCATATATGATCATCCAAAAATGATTGTAGAAATGTAAAAGTTTATAACAAATAACAACATCTTTATCCACAACACCATTAGGATATATTTCAATCTGATCACATGTATACCCCAACATATGTAATATCAAAATCCCATCAAACAAGTTCAAAACCTTTACAGAATCTAAGGAAAAATGTAAAGAAAATTCCTCCAAACTACCCCCCCCCCCAAAAAAAAATAATTAAGTAGTTCATGATTCTTTAAATAAATGGAAATGAAGGTAAACAAATGAAACTGATCACGATAAACCCCTCCCATTTTTATTTTCAATTGATAAAAAGAACTGTGGAAGCATACATGTTCGATAAAAACTACATTCTATTATTGGAAAGACATGATAAATTTGATTTCTAGTCTCTTCAAATTTTTATCCACTGAGTTCACGCTATTCATCTTCTGGTATGATCTCCAAGCAGGACAGACCAAAAGTCATGGCCCCCGTACAGAAGGTCAAAGGTCATCCTGGGAACTTGTTGTAACAGACACAATATTAAAATAAGCACACAACATCCCAAGAAAAAAAAAAAAAAGCACAAGCCCTTAACATGGTGGGGGAAAAATCGCTCTGCATTTCTTGTTGGTTGTGTGTTTAATACTCTCTAGGCATATTAAAGCTCTAAGAGATAGGTCACTTTGTTTGATTTGACAAGAATTTCCATGTTTAGGGCTTGCTATACTTACGATAATTGCTCAGAATCACCAGTGGTGAGATGTTCATGGAATCGCGATACTTGACATGATTATTATTTTTTTTTTTGCCATTGCTAGAAAAATGAATTTAAATATCTGTATTCTTCCATCATTCCACGTTCTCAAGATGGAGTTTTAGTATAATTCGTTAAAAACTGGGAATATTCCTCGATATCCAACCCAAGCTCTTGGCAACGCTTCTGAATTCTAGGTACCATGGCACAGGACCCATGTGTGATCTCAAACAGCAAAAACTGAAATTAGAAAAATTTGAAAAAGCCTTGACAAAGGGAACATATCAAAACATACATTCTTTTTTTTCCAACTTAATATTGATGAAGAAATCAATTACAGTTTAAAAAACAAGATTTAAAAATAATAAAGGTAAGATTTTACATCTTTCCAAAAGGTCACATGGTATGGATGGAACAGTACAGCTTTATGGTAGAGTCTTCGGGTCTGAAAAGAAAATGGGTTACAACATTTACTACTTTACACAAAACATTTCATGTATCCAATTCAATCATTCTTCTTTAATGTGTACAATTATAACTCATGATATCAGGTTAGTCCGATACATTTATAATCAAATGTGGGAAAATTGAGGATAGTATGTGGAACAGTTTACCACTTGTATGAAATATCAATGTACATAGAAGAACAAAAACGTACCTTTGTCAACAGATATCAGGATGCAGCTTCAAGGTTACTTTACATAAAATCACATACAACTCTACCCCTTTTTTTTCATATCAATTTACTTTTACATAGAAAGCATTTGGAAAAATATCAAAATAAGAGCATAGTGATGAGGCATTTTCAGTTTATCGTTTTTCAAAATGCACTGCATAAATTATCTTAAAAAAAATTGTTATCATTCAGGTGAAGTGTCAAAGTTTACTTGGTAAACACAGAAAAGTGACCTTCATCTACTGAAATTCACATACCTCTGCTACGTTTTCTAGTTTCAAGCTCAAAGATATCGCCCTACAAAGAGAACAAGGCCAAGTCAACATATATCGCCCTCTATCTGCTTCTGAGAAAACTTCTCCACATTTATATAACACATTTCTTCCCTGTTGACAAGCTTCTCAATATCATAATTCACATGATAAATCTAATTCATGGGACACCTAAAGCTTGTTGTATTCCTAGCACTACAAAGTGATGATTTACATGTTATTCTTTTGATAAAAGGAGGTGACGGAACTTCATCCATTATGCCTTCCGTAACTCAACACTCTCCAAGAAGCAACAAGCTTATTTCTTTCTCTGTCACTATGGAATTTGATACATACAATTTCAAAGGATATAAGCATTGAAATATTATCATATTTCCATTGTATTATTTACAACTTAGCTTGTATAAAACTATACTCCTCAAAAATTAATTTGATTTAGATAAATGTCAATTCTTATCAAAGAAGGTCATCATTCTAATTCTATGGAAATCAAGCAAACTTTTGGAAATACAATGACAACAATTTCAGATTAAATGCCTAGTTATTACCCTGAAAAAAGAGAAAATAAAACCAGACTTAATTTGCCATCCGAACTGCTTTCCATTTTGGCATTAAATTATAAAAGGGGGGGGGGGGGGGGAGTTTGCTAAAATATCTTTAATCCCTAAGAAATTTTATATCTGGAAATAATTGCTGTTTCTAGAAGTTTCTACAGAAAACAGACCTGGTAAGACAAAACTTACCTTCTTGCTGTGTTTGTTAAGACTTACATCTTCCATAGGGCCGGGTTGCTGACTTTCTCAATGACCGCTGTGGTGCAGAGGGTCTTAGCTTGGTAGAAATTCTCACTCTGGATGGCCTCTTGACACACCCTGTACCACCACCAAATAAACAGAGCTACTGACACCATGAGACAAATTATGGCAATGGGATATATTCATGCAGGGGTCTTTATTTTGAAAAGTACTGTAGGAATACTCTAATTTCAAAAGGCTATAATCTTTCTGGAAGAACTACCGGTACATGAAAATGAAGATAACACGTGCCCTTGCATCCATGCATTTATGATAACAGAGTTAGAAAAATATAGTATTATCAATAAAAGAAATGTGTATGATATTTCATTAACTTCTGGGATGGACAAGGGAAATCAAATTGTATGTAGGTGTTATAACATCAATTGTCAAAATAAAGCTTATTGAAATATTCAGACTTTTGCTTACACATATATATATGTATGTAATTGTTTTGAAATGCAGATAAATTTCTGAGATTTGACTAATATTTAAGTTAATGCTTTAGAGAGGATGATGATATTTGTCTACCGTAGCAGTAACTCCACATTTAGGGGCATTTTCTCCAGAATAAGCTGATACTCGGTCAAGCGGTCATCCTTTGGAACACTGCTGATGAACAGGTCAATTACTCTGTTAACGTGACGGTAGTTCAGCCAGGTGGATCCAACAGAATGGGGGGTGTCAAAGACAGTGGGAATAGAGGATAGAGCTCGATTGAACAAATTCATGTAAGTCTTTGTTCCCATGGAAACTGCTTCCTTGTCAATGATGAGTCGCTGACAAAGGGCTAGGTACCTGTTGGTAAGGGAGGGAGGAGGCATTTTTAAATTGCAATTTGGTAAAAACTCAAAACGGAGTTCTTCTAACTTAATCAGGTCAAACTAAATACCAGGATCACCATTAATTTCAATACAACAATGTAACACAGACAGAAAAACACATAACCAACCATGTTTAATGTGCACAGAACATTGTGAAACATAGATACCATGTCTCGAGTTGAAAGATAGAAAAGAAATGTTCCTCTTGTTGGGACTATGAATGATTGTAAGAAAAGTTCAGCAACTGTTTTATGGCCTAGTAACAACATTTCCTATGAATCAATTTCTTTGCAGTTCGTGAATGAGATGCATGAAGACTGTTGAACTCTCCACCTGGTTTAAGCCAAGCCATAAATCTGAACTCCCTTGCTTTGTCAAGACACAGAAAAAGGAAGCCCAGCCCTCATGTAATGAGTGGCCCTGATTAATAGACACATAAAATAAACAATAAACAAACATCCCCAATCCTACCTCTCTCAGACAGAACTACTATATTTTCCTGCGATCACATGACAGAAGCACTACATCATGTGACGTTAGTGTATTCTCTACATACTTTGTACCTAGCTTGACAAAGATAAAACCAAACTTGCATTAAAGAATCTCTATATGCATACCAAAACGTTCTGTGATGAATTTCTGAACTTGTCATCAAAATTTTATTGTCGCACAGGTGAAAGGTCAAGCATGATACAAGAAGAACAAGTATTACTGTTCTGACAATGTTTTCTTCTCCAATGAATGTTAAAAAGATGAAAAATTTGATCATAAAATCTAAATCAGGGCACACGAATTTCTATGACAAGTTTTATGAGACGCAATGTTTTAAATTGCTGTCCTGAATGACTGCAATCTAAATGAAAAAAAATCCTTTTCAGATTTTTCATTAAATTCTTGTACTTTTACTCTGTGATTGAACACTGAAAGTCTGCCATGTTTCAGAAGATACACTGTAAAAGCATGTTTCTACAGTAATGAAGATCCATAATTCTGTACAAATCTGCTCTTAAATACTAAATTTGAAGTGTTAAACCAACTGAAATATATTGTACTGTGACTGAGATTCCCTTGCTTTCAGGTCAATGACCACAGAAATCTGCTAGGAATGCCTTTTTTCTCCTTTCAAGGACTTTTATCTTTACATTTCTTAGAATATCAAAGTACAGATAGGTGACACGTTTACCTGCACCAAGCCGCTGTAAGGTCTGGAGCCGTTACCATGGATCCAAGCATTGTCTCATAGGCCTCTATAGCAGCAGTTGTGTCCCCTTGTAACTCCAACAACAAGCTGAAAAAAAAATATAAAATTATATATATACAGTTGAATTTCGGTTTTTCGAACACCGATATCTCAAATACCATGGATTCCAGTGCATTCCCTATCTGCAGTCAAGATTTATGCCCAATATAAAATGTTTCCATCTGCTTGAGAAGCATCCAGTAACAAATGGGAATATTAAATACAGCATAAAAAATTAAAGTCTATTTATAATATAACATTAATTTCTAACAAAATGAATCCAGAAGTGTATAAACAATAAGCAAGTTTATCATAATAAATGATTCATGATAAATTTATATTTCTGCGTATTTCTTGTTGTTTGTGTGCGATACGTGTACTTATTTACGAGATATTAGTGGAACTTAAATCTGACCTCGTCACTATTCACTGCTATTATTTCCACTCTTTAGCGTATATTAATCATGATAAATGTTAATAAGGATACATAATTAGAAGTATGCACAATTAATTCCTTTCAAAAGTGATGTTTCATACATAATAATTCAAAGTATGAATTAGTGCCATGGGCGATGAACATGAAAGATAAAAAGAAACGGTGTGAATTTTCTGGTAGGTGACTTAATTTGAGAAGAAATTTGTGTGACCCAACTTTCACTTAGGGCCACAGTGCCAAAGACATTGTCACCCTACATAGGAAATTTCTAAAATAAGATGAATTGTGTTTTTAAGCACACCAGTGAACACAAAAATTAAGCCTACATTCCTCAACACATCATACAAATTAAAGGTCTTCGTTAAAAAAAAAGGATTTATGCTAATAGCACTAAAGAGCATCAATGTTATGTCCGACGGATATTTTTTTAATTATTCAAACAATTTTCCCTTATTCTGTTTTAAAATAAACAACTGAGAGCTGTTTTCATACATATGACTTATGACATAATTAGTCAAATGTACATGCATGCACCATACTCTGAAATACACCATTGCCAAGAACAAGTGTGGCCCTTGGGCCACTGCAACACACCACCAAAGACAAACGATGAACTAAGCCCTCATTAATTATGTAGGTGGATGCTACTCATTTTTGGGACGGGTTTGTCTTCAGGGGCTTCAATCTGGATAAACATCAAAGGGAGACAAATCAACTTCTACTAAAAAAGGTTGAAGTTGAGAGAATTTGATTAAAGCCTAGTTCCAGTAACAGCGACACTGAGGAAATGCAGGTTTCTTTTCCTAAATCAAATCAAAAGTGCAATTTAATGTGATGGAAAATTGCATCTGAGACCCTAATATTAAACAACGTTGTAAACAACTTGATGGATGTGCATGGGCAAAAAACTTGAGTTTTTTTCCTTCATATTAATGTACATAACTTCTTTTACAAAAAAGCATTATTTATGTAAAGAATTTATTATTATATGTCATATTTTTCTGAAATAATTTGCCCATACATCACTTAAGCTAAAGCTTGATTACATGTATAATTGACATAAAAGAAAAAAAAGATACATGTAGTATTACTTTCACAGTTGTCAATACTATATGGGTAAAGTACATATGTAGTACCTCTTCTAAAGAAGTATGTGGCAAAATAATTGCTGTGAGGTATCCAGTGGACAATGTGGAGGTGATATTTTTGAGTGTTACAAAATAATTAACAGTCCCTGTGACAGGTTAAGAGGTCGTCTGATGATGGAGTAGTTAGTGAATGTAAGTACAGCTGACAGCCAGGGAGGTGTTATTATCATAAATAATCATCACAACTATTATGTCTGTATGCCAGGACAGAATGGCTGGATTGTCGTCCACATCCAGGGATGATTGGGTCAGACATTTGATAAACTCTAACCAAACAAATATGTGACTTATTAAATATTTCTACATATTTCTATAAAGTAAGCCTTTTCTTTTTATTTACTGTACACTAAAAAATCCCCCCTCATATCATTTTTGCATTTTTCACTTTCAACCCTCCATAGGCAAATTTACAATTGGGCTAATTTACATGACACAAATATTTGTAACTCTTAAGTAGAAAATGGCTTTGGGCAAATCTAAATTTCAAAAAAATGGTGATATAAATTTTTAATGTATTTGGACATAGACAACATGGGGTGAAAATATTTTGAGAAATCAGAACCAAACACTGTGCAACATCTTTGCCCCAAAAAGATTATCCACATTTTACCCTTTCTCACACATTTACTAATAAATACCAAACAAGGTATTAACAGCATGACAAGCAATCAAAGCTTAACAGTTTACTGTAATGCTCATTCCACTTTTGAAAAAGAAATTGCAAGCACTGTGCATTTTATGCTACATGACATTTCATAATACATGTACATATGTATGCTACACACCACTTTGAAAATTCATAAACATTCATTTACCCAGATTTAGCAGTCCCCAACACAGTCTGCATTCACAAAATCCCCCCAGGACTGCCTAACTGGCCAGTGAAAAATTAATGAACAAAGCTGACCTAGTTGGTCTACTTTAAATTAATCAACACTCTTTTGCCAATGGAAAGTTACATTTATTATATAAGGCATTGCTCATCACAGCATTTCATCCTTACAAGGGTCTGTAGCCAAATACTTTTGTGTCATGTTGCTTACAATACTCTGACTGGTCATTTGGTATGCATGCACTTGATAAGAATATGCCTTTCTCTGCATAGATGCAAACTGTTTTAAAATTTGTAATACTGCAGACAGAAAAAAATCACTTTCAACCATAATGATTTATTTCTTGAATAAATACAATTAACCACAAGATTATGAAAATTCAATAATTTCAAACAAAAATGATCATCAAAAATTACTCAAAAGTAAAAAATATCCGATTTTCTTTACCACTTTACATTAGCATTACAATTTGCCAGATGGATTTGTTTTCAAATTCTAAACTTTTAATACATCCTTGCTCACATAATCTAAATGCTGATAATTATTCTGTACATACACTGTATTGTTTTTCTCCAGGTAAAATACTTGAGAACCCCAAACCAGGACACATAAATATCATTAAAGAGAAATCATATATCAGTCTGGCTGGTTAAAACAGTGAAAGTTACTCAATGTTGCCTTAAGGAACTACTTAAATAAAGGTGAGACACCAACCATTTTGTGCATTTCTACACTATATTGCCACATCAAGGCTATAGCAAGAAAGTGAAAAAAATTTCCCTCATAACATTTAATTTTTTAGTCTTGTAAATAGTAAACCTCAAGCTCTTACTACAAAAACAAATCATTCTTTAGGTTACCTATAAATGAAGGACTGTTTCGTCTTTCATTACTGAGTTATCTGCACTATCCTTTGGATTCCTCTCCAAGTTTTACATTTTTTCATTGCTTTTGTGACCAATATGTTTATTAAGCATAGTTCTGTCACTCTATCATCAAATATTTTTTTTTTCCTCTTAGAATTCATGACAGAACTTTTTTTTGTGTCTTCGGTAAATAACTTGTCTATACAGGAAAACCTGGTTACAGTGAACATGCATATAATGAATTCCTGATTACAGTGAACTCATTTTCAATCCCTGTAGTTTAAAAATGTACCATAAAATTATCTTATATTATGAATTACGTTCATGATGAAATTAAAATTGTTGGTCCATGGCACTTCCTACAAGCATGTTTTACTGTATATACATAATACTGATTATCTCTACCATATAAACTCTATACCAGATCTGATGTTATTCCAACTCACCAGTAGTTGAGCCAGATGTACAGATTTTCCTCTAGAATCTGTTCTTGGGTCACAGCTTCTGTGAAGTTGGGGGGAGAATAGTTCATAGGGACATCTTCATTCAAAAGAGAACTGAAAAGAGACAAAACTTAAGTCAGGACACCAAAGTTTCATTCTGCTACATTAAAGTCAGAGGAAACATCTTCGAAACTTGTGCATAAGTCAAGCATAAGTTGCACTGATTTATAAAACTGATTGATAAGAGAACATGAATGGACACACCAGAAGAGAAGGTTAGGGTCTGCTAACTCTGAGTTCACATCCACATCATAGAAGGTCAGGATACTCTTCTCAAGAGACTCGAGGGCTTTGTTTGTCTCCCCCTGCAATAAAATATCACAGAATTCAGCATATGTTAGAAATATAAAGGAGAGAACATAGATGGACAGCTATGCAGCCTTTTGTCCAACCAAATTCAGCCTCTGCAATAACTGTTGTTTAAATATAAAATGTACTGCTTATTATAAAAAAAGTTATAAACTTATAATTCATTAAAGTGTGTTTACAGATATTAAATTGTGCATTGCAGTATCATATGTTGTGGTACATGCACATTAAGTGTACTTGATTAAAAAGTACCTGCTCAAGTTCAAAGTTCGCTGCATGATAGTAGAGATGAGCACTGAATAGATTAGCATCCAAACTGTCAGCAAACACCTTCAAATAAAAGTGTACCAATAAGCAGTGAGTATACGTGAGTATACTGTTTCTGTGCAGATAAGTTCCTATGAATTCATCCCCCCCCCTTAATACTTAGCTTAAAGTTATTTTAATTTAATTAAGTGACAGTTCAAAAACTATGAACAAGATTATTTGGGCCTATCTACATGTATAGTCTCTTATGTTATTGAAAAATCTAGTGATCAAATACTCATAAATAGCTTACACTTTACATTGATTGAAATAATGAGTTTTGAAAGTTTAAGCAAATGTCTCCAAACTAAATATTAAATTGTGCAAACTACATACTTAGTCCTTTTATCAAATATAGTTGAAATTTGACATTTCAAATACATGTACTGGTGTTTCAAATACCAGGGACATATGAAATTGAGAACAGGACCAGACCAAAACAAATCTTTAAATCTCAACTCTAACAACTTGAAACCTTCCTTTTTTCTTTTTTGACATTCCCACCATGTTAGAGAGACTGGGGTTTTAAGGTGTCAATGATACCTGTCTGGTAGCCTGTGCCTCCCCACAGTGACTGTATAAGTCTGCCACACAAATCCAGACATCCAGCAGTCCAGGGTTCTTCATCAGAAGCTGGCGACCCAGAATTGCTGCCTCCTCATACCTATATCAAGTCAAAACAAACAAAATTTTATTGTTCATTCTCTTCAAGAGCTAAATCTAAGACTGCTATACAAGAAAATACTATTGGGTGACAAGAGTATGTCTTTTAAAATTCTTCAATCAAATGGTCCTCAACTTATGCTGTAACAATATATCTTACACCTAATTGACAACTATTTACATGTAGGTTGAAAAAAAAAAAAATCAGGGAAAATCTTAAATTTCTACTGAGGCTGAAGGTCATCTAACAGTTCTGCTAGAATGACAAGCTACCCCTACTGACAGTAACTAACGAGATGATGTATAACACCTGGGATTGAACAGAAAGGTGTAAGATTTCAGGTCATCTGTGACAGCACTAAGTGGTCGTAACAGGTACAGCAATAGCCAGTTAACATAGCAATATGACAAAATCAGCACTGACTTACAATCTATTATGTCCTTCATAATAGATTCATTATAGCAAACTTGCTAAAAAGTGTTATTTTTCATACTTGTAGTAGAAGCTGAAACACATCCGAGAATAAAGATTCATTTTTCAACTTTAACCATTATAGAATTCAGCTGGACAGATGGCTTACAAAAATGTCAAATAAAATATTTTAACATGACTTTTATTACTTCGTTATTATTTTTAACAAAGACCTTGCAAAACAGAAACATCAATCCTTTGTCAAAGACCCACCACATCAAATGTACATAGCAAAACCATACCTTACCAAATGTACCTAGCAAAACGATACCTTACCAAATGTACCTAGCAAAACGATAACCTTACCAAATGTACATAGCAAAACCATACCTTACCAAATGTACATAGCAAAACGATACCTTACCAAATGTACCTAGCAAAACGATACCTTACCAAATGTACCTAGCAAAACGATACCTTACCAAATGGACATAGCAAAACGACACCTTACCAAATGTACATAGCAAAATGACACCTTACCAAATGTACCTAGCAAAACGACACCTTACCAAATGTAATAGCAAATCTCTACCATAAAATGTACACTGTACATTGAAAAATTATACCTTACTATATGTAAAGGGGAAGTCTCAAGATTATTAGCATCAAGTTCCACTAAACAAATTAAAATACAACTTCATATAATTATATATCCTTTCTAACTTTGATATGAGATTATGAACAAATGGGTATTCAGAGCAAATAGCACATGCTATTCTCAGATAATGTTTCCAAGATAAGACTACAAATGCCTTCATGAACAAGCCATTGTAAACATGGAATTTTTTTCAGTAATACTGTTGCACTGTTGTTTATAGGAATGAAAATTAATTGCTTTATCCACAACAATAAATAATTAATCAAATCTATCCTTAACAACTTACATGGTGCTGACTTTGAGGAGGTGAAAAAGGTTGGTGAAGAGAACGGAACCCTGGGATAGATCATTATCCTCCAGGCCCCGAATAAAATCACAGGCCTTCCACATCATCTCCTTAAAGTGGTCCACTGGGAACAGAAGGTCAGGGGTCAACTCCCAATTTAAAGTCAACTTCTCCTAAATTAAAGAAAAACTTCAGATTTACAATCTAGCTGTCAATTATCAAAAGATGGAGGACATTGGTGATGTCAAAGAGGTTGTAATGGCAATTTCAGGGTTGCTGGTTTTTAATATCTTGATCTGTACTTCATATTCTTGGATGAAGTCTTTACCTGCATTATTTCATCCAAGCTAGCAATAAATGGATAATAACCTAGGATGGGATTTAACATAAGAGGACTACTTTCTTCCAGGAAGGGGGGGGGGGGGTTTAGGGACATATCATTTCATTTGGATAAGACAGCAGGGCTCGACATTAACGCTTGTCTGCTTGTCAGGTACCAGTGAAAAAAAAATACGGACAAGTGAATATTGCTGGGCACTTGTCCGATTGGACAAGTGCATTTTTCTGTAAATAAGTCTTTAAATATTTGAAAGAACGACTGTTGAAAATTTACAGGTACTTGTACATGAAAAACGAACTTCGATCCCGATATAGATTGCTATGTAATTCAGTGCACTTGATCGGGATTGAAGTTCACTAATTGCATACTACTGCAAAGGCATGGAACTGACGAAGTTTGGATTCTGTTTTATGTTGACAGCATTTATGTTGTCAGGACAGAAAGTCTAGATAAAATTTTGTTTTATGTGTTTTTGTCTTTATAAATAGCATCATGCACATGTAATGGACTTTATTTTTAGTTTTTCAGTTAACAGTATTAGATCTTTATTGAAAATTTTTCGGACAAGTGAAGTTGAAGTTCAGACAAGTAAATGCCTTGGTCACTTGTCCAAATGGACAAGTAGGTAAAAAAGTTAATGTCGAGCCCTGGACAGGCTTCAATTGTATTAGTTCACAAAGTATAACTGTTTATGATAGAAATCTAGAACGTACCTTGCAGACAATTTTGCCTGATGACAGGTTGGTGGGATCATACAGCTGCCTAGGGACAGATTTGTACCCTAGTACGTGGAGGTAGGACAGCCATAACACACACAGGTCCTCTATTGACATAGCCGACTTTATCCAGTCATACTTGTTAGGGCCCTCAGCAACAAGAAGATACTGAAATAATTTAGTTTTAACATGAAAATGTGAATGCATAAATTTTTAATTAAAAGATTTTTTCGTCACAATTCCAACTTCTGGATCAACGAGTTCATACTTAGTCTGTTACTTGTGGTTCATTTTTTTGGATTTTTATAGGTTAAGCAAGAACATTTTTTCCCTCAAAAGAAAAATTTCTTAGGGTGGCCAATGTTACAAGATGACATTGATAAAACTCTAGAAGTTCTTCTAATAGCAAGGGGTTTAAAGTGTGTCATTCCTAACTTGTAAAATCTTTGACATTAATCCAGGTTTTATGCATATACTAAGCCATTCATTTAACTTAATGCAATACAATAAGCAGCAAATATTTCATTCACCTGAACTTTTTGCACCACACTTTCTGAAACCCATGTGGGCCACATCACTAACCTTCATGAAAGTTAAGTCTTGAGTATTTATAACCTGTCAGATCTTTGATTCTATATACATGTATTTTCAAATAAGACAAAATCAAGGGAAGACTGTTAAAGAAAATGCTTAATGCCTTTGATTAAAAGTATTATTATAAATAAGTATATTTAAGTTTTCACAAAAGAACAAGTCAGATCCTACGAGAAATCCTGTGGGTAAAAAAGAAGTGAAACTGCAAGTAATAAATTGGTACACAGGAAATTCTGATATGTCCATGATATTAACAGTTAAGTATGTCCTATTGTTACTCTGATAATCCCAAATATTTAACAAAAGTGCAATTGTGCAGTGACATGTGTATTGGCCAATGACTGTTTTAAGGAAACTGAAAATTTGTAAAAGTTTATGCCAAAAAGACAGGCAAACGTCTATACATGTAAACAGATAAGACAAAATGAAGTCACTTTAATCAGAGATTCTCTTTTTCTAAATGGCTCAGGTGAGCTAAAAAAAATAACCAATGCAATTCATTTCTTGTACAAGAGCATGTTAACAGATATTTTCTGTGTGGTCTTTGTATGACTCTTTATCATATCACAGCTATTTCCAACTCCCTCATTAATTAAGCTCTTATTCACAAGTGCCATCTTTTACTCATCATGCCAAAATCTGTTAAAATACATTTGAATGAAAACTCCAAAACATTCTTGCTTTCTAAAATCATAAAGTGTATCTCCATCTTCTATTCTTCATAAAATTTTCATTGCTTATAATTGTCTGTTAAATAAAAGGCATTAAATTCTTTTCTTTCACGGCCCTGCATTTCCATTCATGGATTTGCTACTCCTCAGCATGGAGATGATTTTTGCATAATTCAGCAATTTATAAGTGGATCAAATAATGATAACACCTGATTAACAGCCATCATCCATTTCAAGTACCTCATTAAAGCAGCATAAAACCTCCTTTTACTGTCTACAGACTGTGAATCTACAATTTTATTCGCCAAATTACCCCCATCAATGCACACAAACTTGCACCCTGGATGTCTCAATGCAAAGTCAAGGGGGGTTGGGTCAGGAGAGGAAACTTCTGACAAACATTCTCAAGGAGAGTGCTAACTAAAAATTTCATGCCTGGCCAAGGTAAAATGTATTGAAAGCAGTTCCCTTTAGTTCGATGAATTAACTTAATCTACCTGGACCCTGACTGTGAACAGTGACTTGACCCGGGACAATTAGCAGGTCAAGCACAAGGAGACAATGGCAGAACATTAACTTTTGTTACGTAAAGCAATGGAGGTTATTACGACTTAATTGTCCATTTTCGTCAAAACATTTACAAGTGGGTGTCATTTTTTTTCTGTTAAATCATCATGGTGGGGTAGTTTAACAATGTGGGATAACTTATTAAACATAATTGACCATAACACTCTCTATATGGGGTATACCATTACAGAGGTATTTGACATGAACCAGGGAAGTGTACACAAGGGTATCTTTGTGGATCAGATCTTGTGTTGCGTCACAAGAACTGGGTTGTTTTTGAGATAAATATTTACGCCTAATACTAGATCAAAAGGAGGTCTGTTGGTACTATGTTGAACTAATCCCTGAAATATCAGACACAATTTCCTTTGTAATAACCAGTGTTCAACAAGATCTGTTTCTATAACAACAAGATGAAGGATATTTTGTGATTCTCCTCCTCCCAACAAAGAAAACCTCAAAAAGGGGTGGAATTCCTCATCCATTATCTCAGAAACATGTAGCCAAATCTCCACAAGAGCACTGCTAACTTCAAGGTCATATTACAAGGTCATAATTTTTGTACAATTCATCAATTCTTTGGTGAATATTGAATCACTCTTTGGGAGGTTTTTAAAGACTATCATATTGATTTCTGATGAGCCTACCCAACATCATTTTTACTGATGGTTATCTTCAAGAAGCACATTAAGATGAAATGTATCCAACCAAGATAACCATCAGAGTTGGCTATAGGCTTATCACTACAAAAGTGATTTTTGTCAAATTAAAGAGTCTTTGTGACCCCCCTATCCTTGAGGCTTTTGTGTTGTGTTACAATGGCCATAAGTTCCTGGTTGTTGGAGAATGTCATAAATTTTGTTTATCAACATAAAAATTTAAAGACGCACAAGAAGAAGCACCCTAATGACAAGATAGAGAATTCTGGGATTCTGTGATTGGCAACCTAATTACAGTATAATTGTAGGAATGTCATTCTCTGTGACTCGGCATTTTTCTGTAAAGATTTTAGAACTTATGGCTTTCAAATTATTTTTTCATTCAAAAGGATCAGACAATTAAAGTATTTGTCCAATTCAGCCAAATAAGCTTTCTCTGTGAAGAACTGATATCTGCTGACAATGACTAAATGAAGTCAATTTTTCTAAATAAGAAAATTATAAAAAAAAAATTATGAAGTAGTTTTTCAAAGAAATTTAAACTAACAGGAGATATCAATACATATATATATATATCGCGAGATCAACAGAACAATGTTCCAAGACAACAATTTATTTTTTACATACAAACAAAGAACAGAACAGACTTCTGGGAATCACTACTTATTATACAAGAATTAAGACTCACTGTGCCTTAATTCAAGTAAAACTAGTCAACTTTTTAGACCAAGATATTTTTATTTGTGCAAACATGGAGGGGAGAAATATGCTATGGACCAAACCAGGATTCAAACTTGGCTTCTGGAATCACTAGTCAGGTGCTCTACCAACTGAGCTATCTGGCCACCGACAATCAATCCTGCCTGATCACTGCATTTCCAATCAATTGAAATGCCTTTAGATTTACATTCTAAAATATTTCTGTTGACTTGTAGCGGATATAAACTTAGCAATAGGAGAAATATAAACTTAGAAATACAAATCTTCATTTTTTAAAACAATTAATTTTGATAAATATAAGATCTTCCATGGTTTATGGTTGGATATGATTTTTATCCAATGAGTTGTGTGTTTTCTATCTCCAAGCCTTGGTAAGTTGGATAAAAATCATATCCAACCACAAAGCAAGGGAGATTCTTTTTATCACAAGTTTTACATAGCTATCATATGTTGTTGTTTTTTTTATTGTTTTTAAATATGAATCCATCTTCTCTGACTTCATCATTTTCATATAAAAACCATTGTGATGTCACAACTGCTTTCATGAAAAAGATATCATATGATCAATATCACACTGTCTAAAGGAGTTAACATGTGATAAAAGAATGTACTAAACTGCAACACATTTTACTCCTATAATACTCTTTTTTCTGTGAGAGTACATCTCATATCCTAATTTCACAGTTGCCAAACCAACTCAAATACTAATCCTGCTTATCACAGGAAAATAGTCATAGAACATAATAGAAATTGACCTAATGATTGGGATAGTTTGCAGCAATCAACAAAAATGTAAGAATTTAAGAAAGAGATTCTTTACAGGATCTATTGAATAGGTATTGTACAAAGAATCTTTTTTTTTTGGGGGGGGGGGGGAGGGAGGATTATCTCTGGATACATCAATAAACAATTTAATCCCTCATTCCTTCACTATGCAGTGCAATTCACTTATCAAAATTTATTTGTCAGACAAAACTTCTTTAGGAATGACTCTAATTCTTGGCCAAATTATTCGAGTATAACCTGGTTTGGGTCAGTTTACGCTTTATAATCCGCGAAGCGGATTATAAAACAGCGTAAACTGACCCAAACCAGGTTATACTCGAATAATTTGGCCAAGAATTAGAGTCATTCCTTATAATTTAATTCTAAAATCATTAAACGACTGTGGGTGTAAAATTTCGTTGCTTTTTATTAGTTCAAATTTGCCGCTCAATAATACAACCCTAGTAACGGAAGTGATGGGAAGCAAGGGGAGGTAAAAACTGATACATAGTCCTAGCAGCCATGTTTTTTGTTTGCATGTGGTAAGATCCGAGTTACTGTTTGAAGCTAAAGGTACATTTATTAAATCTGGAATTTTCCATGAATCCCGAGGACTGGAAATGAGAGCATTGCATGGATACAGACGATTCAGCTGGTTGTCAGGGGGGTGTGTCCCCATACCAAACCAGGTTATACAGAAATAATTTGTGTTCCTTTTTGGATATTAACCAATCAGAGGCTAGAATACAAACAAAATTAAATTATATTAATATAAATGGTATATGATAAGTCCTGCATCTTCTATAGTTCAAAATACAGGTAAATAATGATGTTCCTATTTTATGATTAATGATAATTCTGCTCTCATTTTTCGAGTTACCTTGAATGACAATAAAACAATATTAGGTTACTATTAACTACTTTACAGCAATTACTCATTCAAGTCAATAAATTCACTAGCTTGATACTATGCAAATCATTTTAGATCTCCAGGGCCTTCAAGTTGCTTACTACAATGTACGTATGTTTTTTAAAACAATTAAAGAGTCACACAACAGACTTTTTCATTCACTCTTTCTAAGCTACAACTGTGCTCACTTCACCTTCTGTATTTTCATTCATTGTAAACATGTGAAACACAATGTCTAAGAGGCACTCTTGTGATGGAAAAATTTTGCCTGCTTAGATCTCCAAAAATGAACCGTATCAAATGGTGCAATAGTTATGACTAACAACCTCAGAACAAAGTTATTGACTGGCAGAAAAACTAACAGATAGAAAACATTAGCCCTCTGACCTTTGAACTCAGAGCATATACACTGTAGTAGAAACAATACAAATATTAGCTGAGAGGGTAAAACAGCATGACACATGGGCTTTTACCTGAAGAAAGTTGGAGGCAGTTTTGTGTTTTCCACTCCAGCAGTAGAGGGATACTTTGTATAATACTGTTTCTAAGCACTGATGAGATTGAAGTTCCTGGTCTACTGCATCTTGGGATTTCAGGAAGTTCAAAATTGTATCACAGGTTTCTGCTTTTTTGTGAAGGGGTTTTATGGTACCAAGATACTGAAATATAAAGAAATTGTTGGATAGGTTCATAGTCATCAGTTGAACATGATTAAGTCTTTTAATTTACTTACAGATTTTTTCTTAATATGTGTTAAAAGAATAAAAAGATCACTAAAAGGGAAAAGGTTAGGATAATTCATTTGAAGTGTGCTTTTGAAATATTTTCAGTTATTTTTTTTTTAATTAGCTATGAAGACATAGAAAAGTTGGACAAATTAATTAATGAATAAATGCATATGTATATTTAGGAAATCACAGGAATGTGTGTGCATTATGTCACCATTTTTTGTGGTGATCTGTTTCACATGCTCTAAAAACTCGGCACTGCAACAATAATAAATATTTCTACTTCATTATGTGAAAACTGAATGTACAATGCAAACATTGTATCATCTTTAAGAAAATGTGTAATATACCTGAATCTTTTACAACAAGAATCATTAAATATGAAGTGTAACTAACAGCTTCTATTACATGTAAATCAAACAAGCTGCAGTTGCCTTCTGACATATGAAAATTATTACGCTTTATATAGAAACATTACCTTCCATAAGATGGAGTAGCTCTGTGTTAATTGTAAAGCTGTCTGACACATGTCCCCAAGTTCTCGGTTGTCAGGGTGACTAGCAAACAATGTGAGGTAATTTTCCCACAATTCCACACTAGTTTTGTTGTTCTCTAGACCTCTAGACAGGACATTCAAGGCATGGTCCAAACACTCAGATGGAGTATGACTACAATGCATGAATACTTGGATTTACACAAAATCTTACTTAAACATTACTGCATAAACTACCAGTAATATGAACATTGTCGATATCCATGCTTTCAATAAAATAAATAACATTTCAATGGATATTTGCATAGAAGTACTTTTGATGTGCAAAACATAATTCCTCAAATGCTTTTTTTTTCATGCAAAGAAGTGTTGCTGGACAAGTCTTTTACCAAAAAGCATTCCAAAGGCAAACACACTCTTTAACATGAAACATACAAGTGTATGTAGAAATAATACTTAAAATTTGATACTTCATATCTTTTTTCCAGTAAATTTTTAGTTAAATCTGCAGATATTATCCATCTGGAAGCAAAAATTTCTAACGCTCTCTACCTCTGAGTATCTGAGAGTTTTGTATGAGCTAGTTTGATCCATTTGGACGTATCGTCCGGATTTTCCATGACTGCTGACTCCATGTCTTCTATCTTTGAGGAATCCGACAGGAAGTACCGGACGTCTATGTCTCCAATAACATTATCTAAATCTTCAGCAGGACGTTCCCATTCTGTAATGAAATACTTGTGTCATTAAATCAGAACCATACTATGATTTTTTTCCCCCTTAAGCTTGGATAATTTAATGAAGCAATCTTCCATTGTACTCAGAAATGCAAATATTTATAACTATAGTGAAGTTGTATCCTCAGAATGTCAATTCCTCTGTAGGTATGACATACTTTAAACGTATTTTATTAATCATGTATCATATTTGGCAGAAATTGATTATTCAGCAAGCTACATGTAGCATAGATTTGATTTAATGATTTCTGAATGCTTTTTATATCAATATGCATACACAAGACTTTTAACGATGTTCTCGATTTAGTTTAAGCTGCCTTCCATGAAAGGCACTACATGGAATACAGAGCCAATTGTAATACGTTTACAGTAGACAGTAAAACACACTTCGGATGAACAATTTTGGTTCATTATAAAAATACTTTGTTATATCCGATAAGTTCAAATTATGTTTTAAACCTATAGAGATTGAAATTCACTTTCTTGTAATTGTAAATTCTTTAAAAACATTTTCGCAGTAACTGTTTTACTATACAACAAACTTTGCTTGATGATTTACCTATTTTATCAGGGGACACTTCCTTTGTTGTTTAGTATAACAGAGATTTACCTATTTTATTGGGGGACACTTCCTTTGTTGTTATAGTATAACAGATGATTTACCTATTTTATCGGGGACACTTCCTTTGTTGTTTTAGTATAACAGATGATTTACCTATTTTATTGGGGGACACTTCCTTTGTTGTTATAGTATAACAGATGATTTACCTATTTTATCAGGGGACACTTCCTTTGTTGTTTTAGTATAACAGAGATTTACCTATTTTATTGGGGGACACTTCCTTTGTTGTTTTAGTATAATAGAGATTTACCTATTTTATTGGGGGACACTTCCTTTGTTGTTATAGTATAACAGATGATTTACCTATTTTATCAGTGGACACTTCCTTTGTTGTTTTAGTATAACAGATAATTTACTATTTTATTGGGGAACACTTCCTTTGTTGTTAGAGTATAACAGTAGATTACCCATTTTATCAGGGGACACTTCCTTTGTTGTTTTAGTATAACAGTAGATTTACCTATTTTATCAGGAGAGACTTCCTTTGTTGTCTTTGCTGCCCTCTTTTTCTTTTCTGTCTGGGTCACTCTCCATTTTCTGGAATCCAGGAACAAAGTGTGTGGTTTCTCTGCAATAAATTTAAAATTTGTAACTCATCATAACAAAGGGTTTCACAGAAATTTGTTATTTCAGTATTAGTTTGAACATCAACCTACTTTGTCCTGATTTTTCAAGCACTTGACTGACAAGGAAGATCTTTAACTGGTCTGTGGTCAATCGTCCACTGTGCTGCTTGCTGAGATTATTGACATATGTATCTGAAAAGATATATACTTTTACTTATGAATTAACCTTATTTTTTGTTTATTTCAAAATTGAAAATTAAACATAAATTTCAAAGCAATTGAAAATGGAATAATTTTCTGAACATGACACTATATTAAAATTTATAATGATAACTTCTAAGATCATAAAAGTGGAAATTTTTATTTCTCTTGTCTGGTTCTTATCACTCTTCTATAAACTGGTTCCCTTACTGATAAGCCTGCCACTGTACTGAGGAGGTGTGTCAGCAGCCACTCCACAGATGGCGGGGTTGTATGACACAATGTCCTGGAGAACCTCCTGTTCTGACAGCTGGTAGTCCCTCTGGTGTTGTCTGTAAAATTATAAATATCAGTATTACATGTTAGATATCAGTAATACATGGTAATTATCAATATTACATGTCAAATATCAATATAGAATGTTAGATATCAGTATTACATGTTAAATATCAGTATCACATTTTATTAAAAATCAATATTACATGTTAGATATCAGTATTACATTATATATTAGTGTTACACGTTAGATATCAATTAAATGTTTAATATCAGTATTACATTTTAAATATAATATTATATGTTATATATCAGTAATACATTTGAATATCTATATAACTTGCTTAATTTTGATATTTCAAACTTATTTTCCTTAATTTTTACACAACTTCATGATGTGTTGATTCACATCATTATTCAACTCTTTACAATAAACAAATTTTATAACTAGAATTTCACTCCAAAAAAGGAGAAGAACTTCATTTTTCTGTACTTTCATAAAAGTTTTAATAGGTCACTTAATCCCAGCAGGTGTTGTTTAAGAATTAATAGGCCATTACGTTGTATACAAGTGCAGAAATGGCATGGAATCTTACATGAGTATTTATCAAAGTAAGCCTCTATTATGCTAATTTCTCCATCTTTTAATGGTGCAAATCTTTTATTGAAACAGGAATCTAGTCTGAAACTGGTACAAATATCAACAGAAAACATACAATTTATGATGCAGTTCAGTCAGAAAATTCATTTAGACACAAATCATAACGTTGCCTTAATTCAATATGCCATCCCTTGACCCCTTAACCCTCTACCGTTTTCTTCCGATTTTATGCCTGCATTTTTTGCATCCTAACTACATGTTAACAAGCATGTTAATCCCCATACATTTTACATGATGTGATTTTCTGAAATCTTAAACCTTTCTTTTATTGTGACACTAAATCCTTACGATAGATCATGGCTTCTGGCCACGTAAGAGGGGGTGCTGATGAGATGGGTACAGGTGCGAAGTAAACAGACCCCCTATGATGTTGTAACTAAGATCTTAAAACCAGTCAAAGGGAAGTAATCCGTAAATCCAGACAAAGCCCTGGCCATACAATATGTAGTAATTATCATTCTTCTATTACATGGGCCATAAAATGTGATCTGCTATGAAGTCATTTTGTTCAGCTTCACAAAGTTTACAAGAATTTCAGAATGTTTTATATACTGTACAGTGTAAAATAACCCATTCATCCAGTCTTGTACCAATTCATTTAATTTTATACTAATTCACTTAACCATATTAAGCTCCGATGACCACCCCGTCTTTCAGTAGTTAGTAATACCTTTTTACTAGTGACAATTTGCATGATGAAAATGTTATACTATTGAAGGCGTATCACAGCAGCGTTTTATTAATAAATTTTTGAGTTGGCATGTGATTCTTAAATGAGCAACTGGAGAAAGCAAACTGAGTGCTGAAGGCTGCTGTGAATTAGGGGAGGGAGGGGGGTCAAGGGAAAAATTTGAAATTTTGAAGTAAAATTTGAAGGAGGCATTTCCTGGCTTTTAGACTTAGCGAAGAAAATTGATGTTTTACCACCTACTTATCAATTTCTTTATACATGCATGTTTCATTCTTAAATAATAATTTAAAATCCAAGGACTGAAAACCAACATTCTACATCTATTAGCATTCTTCACTCATAAAATGATCCATCAAAACACAAAAAATGCAAGGGAACAAGCCAGGACTTCCTAAATAAAATATCTGTTCATAAAAAAAATTACTTACCCATCACAATCGTCATCATTGCAGGTGCCTTGTAGGTCGTATTTACAGAGAACTCTGTTGATGTTCAGTTTATTGGAATACGTCACAGAGGATAAAGAGAGCTTATTCTTTGTTCTAAAGTATGGACTAAACCTGAAACAAGAATCACATAATTGCTCTAAAATATATTTCATATTAATAAATGTGCCATAAAATAATTTCAGTCAGGAAAAACAAATACAACCAGAAAAGAAATTATTGAAAAATACAATGTTTTACCAACATATCAATGTGATGTATTATGCCAAACTTCACTAAGATTGTGATTTTTCATAAAATTATTAATAAATTTCCTAAATTCTCAACAATCTTTACTTTTATTTTCTTTTTTTTTAGTTTAACCAGAGAGAGTGACATTACTATAGATATTACCTGTATGTTTTGAATTGTTGCAGTGGACTGCTATAAGGATAAGGAATTATCTCTGTACTACCATCATCTTTCCTTCTCTGAACTTTCCTATGTTCTACGATTGCAGGGATCTGTCAAATTTACAAGGACATATAAAAGTCAAGCTAAAGATCACAGGATTACATACATTTTTATTATCTCCAGTAATAACTGTATAAAAGTATTAGCATAGATATTAAACCTCTTGGGACTTTTGTATCACATTTTGGCAGTAGTTGCAAGTCAAAGGTAAAACCTCCTGTTTTGACAGATATGTGGATACATTTTCATCCTGCAGAAGAAACATAAATTTGGTAAAAATTTCAATAATACAGTGAAACTTGTCTAATCCGGATGCTGCATATTCCAAAATCTTGCCAAATACAATGTAAACCTTAAGTCCCTTTCAGTAAATTCAACTGCGTAAAATGTTGTCTGATCTGGAATACTGTCTAATCCAGCCAATTTTTATGGAACAGGTGGTTTCCGGAGTAGACAAGTTTTACTGCAACAAAGTTTACTTGTGTACTTATCCATTAACTTCTCTGAAATCTGATTTAAACTACTGGTAATTTGATTTTACCTACCAATAACTGTTTAAGCTTTTTTAGCTGTTGTGAATTTGGCACATTAAAATCAGTGGACTTTTTGGGATTGTCCTTGGCGCTAACAAAAGTTTTCACCGGTACATTAACATTTTCTGGCTTCTTCTCAATGTTTGGTTTGGTGCTGGGATTGATTTCCATCAATGACCGACGTCGTTTTACCGGCTTTTCCACATCCACTTCCTCTTCCTGTTCTGTAAGATCAATTTCAATCTTCTCCAGCCGTGGAATCTCTTCCGAGCTTTTCCTGCCACTGCTGATCCGAGCTTTCCTAGCCTGGATCTTCCGTTTGGCATTAGCCATTTTGAGATGTTGGATCCGTCGAGCGTACTCTTTCTCCAGACCCTGTAAACGTTCCTTCTCCTCAGCAATGTCAGCCGCACTCTTCTTCTTGGTCTGTTGAAGGTTTTCTTTTCCTGTAGCTGCTTTCTTCATTGCATGCTGTTAAGCATAAAAAAAATTGTAAACTTTAATAAACATTTGGAAAAGTAAATGCAAGAAAAATTAATACTTATACTCTGTTTTCAGATACATGTATCTCTGTCATCAAAAGTTAATTTTATATAGCACTTAATCAAAATACAAAGTCCTCATCAAAGATAATTATGTAATTGTTACTTTACTGTGATCAACTAATTCTTGGTTTTTAAACCATCAAGTTGTCAATTGTAAAACATAATATCAACTTAAAACAGTCAATCACATGAAATATGGACTCCAACAGGACCAACTCTCAAACTTCATTATTATTTACAGGTTTGAAATATGACTACTAAAAGACTATTACAGAGAAGAAATATAAGGTATTAGATTGGGTAGCTATATAAAGTAATGAACTGGATAGGTATAAGTTATTAGACTGGACAGCTACAAGGTATTAAATTTGGTAGCTATGCTATAAGGTGTTAGATTGGATAGCTATAAGGTATTAGATTGGATAGGTATAAGGTATTTGACTGGATAGCTATATAAGGTAATGAATTGAAAAGCTATAAGGTATTCAAGTAGAAAATTACGGTGTTTTCTTTCTTACTACACAGAAATTTTCAATTAAAACTGAATGATGTTCTCTATTCACAGGTTTCCCTCTGTTTCTGTGACAGAGAGAGTAACGACAATGAAGAGTTGACTTTTATTTAGCACCTGAATGAGACACTAAGATCATCCACAAAGATAAAAATGCCACTTTAGGGTGCTATTCCTTATCTTTAAACAACAGCCTTAAATTGACAGTCAGTTATTGAAGAATCATGACAAAGTGATTGTTGAGTGGAGATGCACACACAGGTCAGTAATAATTCAAATGTACATGACTGTCCCCTTACTGCAAAACAGAACCCCAAAACATGTGTTCTTAAATGCCAGACTCAACTACTTTTTCTATAACAGGCTTCCTTAGATATAAAGAACTCTGAAATTTCACCCTCTCACACACACAGTCAGGTAAGAGGAAATCATGTACTAAATCAAATATTTACCACAAATAATGAATGTTGCTTTTGAAATAATCTAATCATATCCATATACTGTCATTTATGCAATGAGTATCAAACCTTACATGAGATTTCTTTATCAATCATTGTTTAAGTGAAATGTTTAATTTCCCACAGAGTTCTATAGGAAAATTCTCACTTCACTTGATTGATTTAGCACCTGAATGAGACACTAAGGCCTGAAAAAGGGGCCCAAGTGACACTTAAAGGTGCAGAGATAAAAAACTTCCAACAGCTTATCTTTCAAAACCCACATGTATCTTTTTATTTTATTTTCTAAAATATCTTAATTTCTTAAATATCTATTTAAGCAAATACCATACAACAATTGATTAGCTCAAAAATTTTCCAAAGCTTTCACTGTGATAGAGAGAAATTATTTGTACCTCGTTAATTACTGTCACGGCTAAGTTCTTCCCCCTGGACTTGCTGGCCACAGTAACCTCCCTGGAGGAGCTAGGGACAGTGTAGTCTTCCCCGTACACCCGTATCCCCTCCTCCTTGACCTCTGCCTCCAATTTCTCCAAATCCTCTGCTTTCTGGTTCACTTTGTCTCTTAGTCCTCGGGCCTGCAAAAAAGACAAAGTACATGTATCTTTTTAAGATCATTTAATGTGACATTATTTTTTCCTGACACATATAATTCAGGAAAATGTTATCTGACATGTTCTTCCTTTCAGGTTAACATTTACTGTGGAATCATCATTGTTTGTGGGTGACCAATGTTCGTGGATTTCATGGGTCGCCCTTTTCCATGAACTTACATCCCCACAAAAATTTATTTTGTAAACATATTGATTCATTGAATCTACTGAATAAACGAGTAACCCACAAAATTATGTCCCACAAACAAGTAAAATTTTGCTTGCCCAAGAACACTGACCCCTACGAATTAAAATGATTCCACAGAACCTGTGCTCGGTATTTGTCATTTACCTCTGTTTAGGATTTGTTAAGGATTTGTCATTTAACTGTGTTTAGGATTTGTTAAGGATTTGTCATTTACCTCCGTTTCAGATTTGTTAAGGATTTGTCATTTACCTCTGTTTAGGATTTGTTTAGGATTTGTCATTTACCTCTGTTTAGGATTTGTTTAGGATTTGTCATTTACCTCTGTTTAGGATTTGTCATTTACCTCTGTTTAGGATTTGTCATTTACCTCTGTTAAGGATTTGTTAAGGATTTGTCATTTAACTGTGTTTAGGATTTGTTAAGGATTTGTCATTTACCTCCGTTTCGGATTTGTTTAGGATTTGTCATTTACCTCTGTTTAGGATTTGTTTAGGATTTGTCATTTACCTCTGTTTAGGATTTGTTATTTACCTCTGTTTAGGATTTGTCATTTACCTCTGTTAAGAATTTGTCATTTACCTCTGTTTAGGATTTGTTAAAGATTTGTCATTTAACTGTGTTTAGGATTTGTTAAGGATTTGTCATTTACCTCCGTTTGGGATTTGTTTAGGATTTGTCATTTACCTCTGTTTAGGATTTGTTTAGGATTTGTCATTTACCTCTGTTTAGGATTTGTTATTTACCTCTGTTTAGGATTTGTCATTTACCTCTGTTAAGGATTTGTCATTTACCTCTGTTTAGGATTTGTTAAAGATTTGTCATTTACCTCTGTTTAGGATTTGTTAAGGATTTGTCATTTACCTCTGTTTAGGATTTGTTATTAAACTGTGCTTAGGATTTGTCATTTACCTCTGTTAAGAATTTGTCATTTACCTCTGTTTAGGATTTGTTAAGGATTTGTCATTTAACTGCGTCTAGGATTTGTTAAGGATTTGTCATTTAACTGTGTTTAGGATTTGTTAAGGATTTGTCATTTACCTCTGTTTAGGATTTGTCATTTACCTCTGTTTAGGATTTGCTATTTACCTGTTTTCGGGCTTTGTCAAACTGTTCCTTTTTCTGGGCCACCAGACCCTCAGCCTCCTGTAACTGTTGTTTCAGATCCTCTACACTGGCCTGAGCGTCTGTCCAATCTTTTTTATTCTTGGCGCAGCGCATTAACAGGGATCGAAATAATGCCCTTCCCTTTTCAACACCAGTTCTACAAACAGATGAAATATATCTCAATTTTAAAAACAGAAGAATAGTCCTCTGAACTCTTGTAAAGCTTTAGTGGCTGCTAACTTAAGTTTTCACATGATTTTGTAAATATTCTACCTTTGATTCTGGAGTTCTTCTTCCATTTCTTTGAGCTTTTTCTTCCTCTCATTGTCTTCTTTCTCTTTCTTTTCCATATTCTGAAGTATATTAAATCATTCATCAAGATACATGGATCTTCTCTTAGAGTGTTGCCAGTATCATTCTTTCTTTCTTCAAGTGATACAATTTAGGAAAAAAAATCAGTTCACTCTTTCATAAATCAATATTTACCTCAGATGATTTCCTCGCCTCTTTTAAAAAAGAATCTAAACCCGACAGAAGACTGGAGGTGACAGGTCGAGGTTGGATTGTCTTAGCACCGCTACCTACTGAGGTTTTACTAGAGTTCAGGCTTGCATTGTAGGACATTTGATTGACTGGTGAATTAGGAATGGTTGGGACTCGCATTGATGTCTGTAACGTCGATGATTGGAATTCCTCCTCATCTGAGGAATCATCGTTTAAATTAATTACTACTGGGTCATGAACTGGAATCTGTAAATAAAACAGACAAAATTTACAAATGATTTAAAGTATATAAAGGGCCTACTATATGAAAAGAAATACAGTTGAACTTCAGTATCTCGAACACTGATATCTTGAATACCATGGATATGTCGAAATGGTTTGGAAATCCCCACCTCTTATTCTTTAAGTTTTTAACCCTCGATATCTTGAATCTTCGGATATCTCAAAGTTTTATCGTGGTCCCATTGAGTTCGAGATAACGAGGTTTGACTGTAATTTCATCATACACTATTTCTATTCAAATGATGACATATTTTACAATTATTCTTAATCTTTAGTAGCGCTTTTCACTTTCATCATTTGTCATAAAGATATCTTCACAAAGGACATACATGCTCTATGTTATCAATGCACTCGTGAGAGCGACAAAATTGAAATACAATGTCAGCCATTCCTGACAGATAATTTTTTTTAACATTCTAACAGCACTCTTTTGGTATGTAGAGATGTGGATGTCTTACCACTAACTGTGTCATGGGCTGCCTATTTCTGGCTGGTTTTGGTTTCAGAATTAAGGCTGTAGATGCTGGAGACTGGCTTCTAGTTGGGGAAATATCTGCAGATTTTACCTACAACAAAAACATTTTACAGTGTATATTGAATACTTCCTATTTTCCACTACTTAAAAAAGTTTGCTTAAAAGATATATTTTGCAATTTAGAAAAACTCACATTTCATAAGACATAGAGATAAGTAACTCATTCCAGGGTTGTCCCTTAGAATTAAAATAGCAGGGAACATTTAAAAAGTAGAAGGGGGTTGGGGTTCTTCCCTTAACAGAGGGTTGAGGGGGAAAAATGTATTACCTTTTACTTGATTTAGAACTTATACAAGTATATTATAGGTACATCTACACATATAATGCAATAATGCAGGGTACCTCGTTTTTCAATTTCTCCATCTTTTCTTTCATTTTCCTGGCTGCCATAGACTTCAGCAACTGGGCTCTCAGCTGTGCTTCCTCCTTATCAAGATCCTCTGAAAGATTAGGGGAGGATCTAAGAGCAGCATAAATATCTGTAGATCCTTTCTCTTCAATCTGTGTAGAACTCTGGGTAATTTCCTCATCTGGAGGAGGTTCTAAAGGTAAAGGTGGTGGAGAGGTAAGATCTGGAGGGGGTGGGGGCTGGGGTTCATCTGGGGGTAGGGGTGGTGGAGGAGGAGGGGGTGGAATCTTGAGGGGATCAATGTTTTCTGATGGATAAAGTTCTGTCCAAGGTTTTAACACACCACTATAGGAAGTGTCACTAAAATTCTGATTAAACATTGGATCTTCCCAAGGCACTCTCTGAGACTCTGTAATCTCTTCTGACATGACATCACTGTAACCGGGAAAGTATGGGTCATTCCAATGGGGTATTTGAAGACTGGCACCAGAAGTATCTACATTCTGAAAAATACACAACTATAATTAATTTGCACCATTACTGAATCATTAAGTAGTTAAAATTATTGCCTTTTTCTGCATAATGAAAATTTCAGTACTAGTGAGAGAAAAAGGTTATTTAGCACAGAAAATATGTAACCAATTGATATTTACGTCATATAAATTTAACTTATGATTAGTAAATGCACTACAGACAGACTGACTAACTTACCATTAAAGGCACAGGATAGACAAAACCTTGGCGATAATCTTTGTCCATTAGATCCTCATATCCAGCTGTCTGTTCCATGGAGATAGCTTTTAATCCAAAACAATTTGACAAATATCAAGTTCTTTGTTTATTTGTACCTTTGTTACAGATTAGGAGGAAAAGAGGCACCAGACAAAGAATTGTTTGAAACCCCTATTTGTTGCATTACCCTAGCACATTTTTTGAATCTGAAATTTATACTTGAACCAAATTTAGAAAAATTTTGATAAAGAACATATATAAGAATTTATGAAGATATTTCCATATAAAACTTTCACCCCTATTGTAATCCTCTCTCATTGGATCATGACTCAAACAAAATTGAATGTACTTATTGTACATATCATGCTGATGTTTCCAAACAAATTTTACTTGTATCCAAATATGTTCTCTATATATGATTTCTTATAGCTCTCCAAAAAATCTTCTATATTTGTGCTTTAATGAATATTAGGTCAAAATTGATCCAGAGGTTCTTGAAAAGATGAAAATGTGAAAAGATCACATCAAGAACAGACCAGAAAGCTCTGTCCAAGGCTCAGACAAGCTAAAACACCTTTATACCTCAGTGAATCATCTATTTCTGACTCAGTGCTATGTAATGTTTTTGAGAGGCCATGAAAGGGTTCTCAGACACAGACCTGGTGACCCGTCATCACTGTCCAGATCCATCTCCACTTCATCATAATTATCTATCAGTGAGACCGACTTCTCCTGGGGCACCTGTTTACCAATAGAGGGCACCTGCTTATTGCCATTGGAGGGCTTCTTCTTACTATCTGCACTTGAGGACTTGAAATTAGAAATAAATTTTAATACATCTTGATATAAAGTAATGAAGAAGATATACAGCGATGATACTGAATTTAATAATGATAAAAATAATTGAATAGAATATGAAGTTGGTTATTTCTAAATTCTTAACTTTGAAATTTTCTTCCAGCCACCCTATGTTCTCATTACCTTACTAAACTCTGGATATCGTTTATCATCCAACATGCGTAGGAATCTGTTGACCTGTTCCTTGGGGTCATCAATAGTAAGGATCCGTTGAATTTCTCTGCGTTTGTCTTCCTCTGCCCTCCTCTTGTCTTCCTCCCTCCTCTTGTCCTCTTCTGCCCTTCGTTTTTCCTCCTCAGCTCTTCTCTTACTTTCCTGTCTCCGTTTTTCTGCCATGCTTTGTTTCCTCTGATCCTGTCTACGTGTGTCTGTACTGCTGTCTCTTCTATGGTCATTGTCGTTTCTCCTTGAAGTCTGACGTCTGATCCCAGAACTTGTAGAAGGTTTACGAGAGCCTGGAGATTTCCCAGATGAGGCTGACCTTGAACTTCTGTTTCCCACGTTCCTGTCACTTCTGCGACTTTCACCTGGTCTACTATCTAATTTTGAAAAAAAAAAATTGTTTAAGCTGAACATTTTTTATGAACATAATATGTAAAAGTTCAGCAGTTTCATCAGTAAAACATATTACATGTAACAAGAAATTGTGTATGGAAGTTCTTCAGATAAGATACATAAATAACTTAAGTTTAGTATCTCTTCTTTTCTGAGACTTTTTCCATGATAACTTACACCTTTTAAATTGCTTTGAATAAATAACAAAACTTGCAGTATTCAGATCATTGGGGGGGAGGGGGGGGGGGGGGGGGGGGGGAGGAGGTCATAAGTTTTTCTTCTTTAAGCCATCAAGAAAAACAGCAAATAGAGGCCTTAAATATGTAGCAACAACAGGCTGATGCTAAAAGAAATTTTTGTATGAAAAACAAAGACAAGAAATAAACAAAAATACAAACCTCTTGACTGCCTTGTCTGCCTGATTGTGCCACCACTTGGCCGTCTGGTACTTCTGTCATTACTCCTGGATGTTCTGTTTGGGGGGACGTTTTTATCTGTTGTGTCCTCTTTAGATGGCGGCTTCTTCTGGCCCTCTGGAGATTCCTCCTTCTTCATGGCAGATGCAAGTGCAGCGAGACGAAGCTCCAATAGATTCACTTCTTCTTCTTCATCTTCTTCTTTAGATACTTCCTATTGCACAGTGATCAAATGTAAGATGTAAGTCCAATATTATTACATTTACATTTTATTAATTGAATTTTTGTTTCCTAGAAAAGTACATCTGGATAATACTTAAAAATTTAATAAAACTCTTCTCTAAAATATCGACTTTCTTGCTTAATGTGGAAATTTCATTTTAAAAACATAAATTGCTTCAAAACAGAAAAAAAGAAAAGAATGACCAGTAATGAGTTAAATTTGAATTTTATTTTCCCAACACAAGCTTTAAAGCTTTTAATTTTTACGCATTAGAGATTGAAAACACTCTACAATGAATTATATTTATCCCTAAAACAATCGGATTACATAACCGAACTGTAAATATTCCCACCTGTTGTTCACTTTCAATGCCAGACTCCTCATCACTAAGCACCACCACCTCCTCCTGTTCTTGTGGTTCTGCTTTGATGCCAGTGCTGTCCTCTGTGGTATCCTGTGGCTCCTCTTTCACCACATCACCACCACCACCTGTGGCATCCTTCTGATCCTCTGGTTTGATTACCTTGTCTTCTGCTTCTTGTTTAATTGTCACTGGTGGCTCTGTCTTTTCCTGCAATGAGAATTATTTTGTATAAAAGTAAATAATGCATCTCATGTATATCATAATTCCTATTTACTACTGTAAATCACATTTTATTTTTGTGTCACATGAAACCCTCTGGTCCCAAAAATGTAATTCTCACATATAATTCTACTATTAAAGATTATCTATATAGCAATAACCAAAATTCGCGAAAATTTTGTTTCGCTTATAAATACAGAAAAAAATCTTGTGAAAATAAGTTAATTGTCACGAAAATTTATTAATCTACTGTACAGTATGCCATCCTTAAATAAAAAGTATCATTAGTGTTTGGTTAGGTCACTTAGGTGCCTCCTAAGAATTCAAAAATAAAATAAATAACATCTTAATGAAGATGCAGAAACGTTGATAATTTTTTTTTATTTTTTATGATGTTACCATGATGAAATCCCGTGTTTAGTATATTTGATTTGAATGTATCAATGTAAACCACCCTTCCTTGACACTTCCTAATTTACCAAGTTAAAATAAGCCCACTTCATTTTTTCTAATTTCCAAAATATCCTGAGCACTAACAGTGGCAAATACAGCATATTACACAGTAACACTTGTAAACATTAGTAGAAACAAATAAAGACCTATAAGAACAGGCAGTTTTACTTAAAACAATGTAAGTAAAACATATAAAGTGATATGGTTTGAACTTTCTAACATTTTATCAATATTGATAACTTGACATCTGGGTAATCACTGTTGAAAAATGCTGGAAAATCTGGTACCAATGAAACAAACAGATGAACATTGTCTCTCCCTTTTCCACTAGTTTTTTTTTCCATTGACATTTTACTGTTTTCAGAATTACAGGGTTCGACACTTACATTTTTAGGCTTTAGTCCAGCCGGACTAGTGCCTCAGTACTTTTACTAGTCCACACACGATTTTACGAGTCCGTCAAAAAAACAAAACAAAACACGTCAATGTTTAATAATGATTAATTTAAAATAAACATAACAATATATTTTGTTTAAAATGAACAAAGCATTTGTTAAAATCTCGCGATCAGGAAGTGCGATCGTATTCCCGATCTCGTTCTGTTTTCTATGGTGGCATATTTATGCCATCCACATAATATTTTGTCGACATAGCATATCATGTCATGTCAAGATAACTATCTCACTAAGTAATGATAACTTCCTGGTTTGTCGACAAACACTGACTTTATATCTTGTCTAGTCAAGATAAGCTATCACATTTGTTGCGTTAGCTATCTTGACATGACGAGACAACTTATCTTGCATCATGAATAAAATAGCTATCGCAAAAATAGGATAGCTTATCTTCACTGGACAAGATATAAGGTCAGTGTTTGTCGACAAACCAGGAAGTTATCATGACTTAGCGAGATAGTTATCTTGACTTGACATGATATGCTATGTTGACAAAAAATTATGTGGATGGCATAAATATGCCACCATAGTTTTCTTTAACGTTATACATATCATCCAAAACATCTTTATGTGTTATACTAAATCATGATCGCTAAAATATTTAGTTTCATAGCAATCAGTCCTAAAAGAAAGCGCCAAGTTGGCTCGGAATTACTTAACTACCCGCCAAGAAGCTAGAAAGCTAAAAATACATGCGGGGTTTTCCAGTAAAAGTTGTGGAGAATCGAACATCGTTAATTTATTCATTTTGTTTTCCAGAAATTTTTATTGGTCCGTTCGGACTAATTAGCCACAGATTTTATTAGTCCGAATGAAAATGTATTAGTCTGAGACTAACGGACTAACTTTAGTGTCGAACCTTGAATTACCATTATTTTGCCTAGGGGAAAATTGTATATTTTAATATATGATCTAAACTTCAGTAAACCTATATAATTTTGTTAAAATAAATATTAAAGAGAAGCCCTTCAAAATATTCCTGTTATGAGTCATATTATTTAAACAAATCTTTAACTGTAATAATTCCTGGTAAATTGAAAATTCAGTGTACAAAAACATATATAAACTGCTTCCTTTTTGTGGTTGGTTATTTTGAGTGATTAATCCAACAAATTCTGTGCATTCAGATTCATCATCCAACAACATGTGTCTTTACCTGCACTTCTTGAATGCAGCCATCTTTGACTTGCTTACGCCAAAAACCAGGAAATACTCTTATTACCTTAAGTCAAAAAGTTGCAGAATTAAAGTCAGTCATGAAAAAAGTGCAAGGATAAAAAAAATACATCCACATGCTAGGAAAAATATATGTTATCTGTCTCCCAACATAATTTCTTGAAAAAATATACTTAAGAAATCATTTTACTTCCTGTCTCTACATGCCATAAAATTTAAAACTAAATGTTAAGAAGGTTATTTTCTCCCTCCAAAAAAAAAAAATTAAAAGAAAGAAGGAAAAAAAAAAGAAAAAAGGCAGGAGAACAACTTTAAACCCATCAATCTGTATCATTGTATCATGCATCATAAAATCAAGAAAATGCAAAATATCAATTTCTCTTCTTTATCAAATCAAATGGCAGAAGATGTACAGATTTAAATTCATAAGATTTTAACTTTCCAAATAATATTTTAACACTTAATGAATACTGAGGAAACAATTATATGTGACAAAGTCTGGAAGAGTCAAAGATGCAGGTGTTAAGAACTTGGACTAAAGAGATTACAGTAGGATTTATCATTTGAAAACTGATAGTTCAACAGTGATCAAGCCCATAGTGATAATTATGTTCATTCACTGAATAACAAAAATTCTTTACGTATATCTTCAAGAGTACAAAGTCATTGTTATTTTATCATTAAGCTGTCAGAACATTAATAAATACTGCAGCTTTATAACTCAGGCCCTTGCATCCAGGTCCATTAAAAGGACCCTGTCTCAATTGAAAATTTACTCTTTTTACCCAAATTTAGGTAAAAAAAATCCCAAATGACAAGCAGATTGAATTTTTTCAGTGATTTTTTTTATATTTAATTTTGTGATTTTTATGATTCATAAAGATGTGAATAATGAATAAGCCTTCAATCTAACCTTTTATTCAACAATTAAACTTAATATAAAACATCAATATTTCAAAATTTTGCCAATTTTTCAATTTAAATTTCCTAAGTGAAGGGTACAGGACCATAAGGAGTCAGTTAAGCCCTGTAAATACAAGAAAATGACTGAGTCAAACTAGCACAAGTGGGCTTTCAGTAAGTAATATTGCACCCACTACATTCTCACAATCAAGAATACAAAATAGAAAATAAAATAATAACACACCTTTTCTTTAGCAACATCTCCAGTGATGTCAACAACAACTTTCTTCTGTGGTTTTCTGGGAGTGAATTTCTTGTTCGAGGGTTTGGGGGCAGTTGATTTTGTTTTTTCTGCTTTCTCTTGTGTTGAAGTTTCTTTGATAGGCTCTTCTGCAGTTTTCTCAATATGTTCTTTTGCAGTTTTCTCCTGTGTTTGGAGTTCTGCTATCTTCTCTTTGATGTCCATGTACTTCTTTAGAAGCCCCTCAAAATTATCTGGGTCTCCCTCCATATCTTCCTCATCAAGCACGGATCCTTTCTGCACTCCCTTGTTTGGGTGCTGTTTTTTCCTATCATTTGCTAATACAAATTGATTTAAGGAAATTCAATTTTGGCAAGAAATATCAAGTTTTTTTTAAATATTTGGATTAAAGCTATATATGGCGTATCTGAGCTAAAAAATGAAAATACGAGATTGAGTGTAGATAAACATGATATATGTTTTTTACTTTCAAATTAAAATTTTCACCGATTTTGAACATGAATAACCTCATGTTTCCTTAGTGAAATTGACTTAAAACTGTGTCTGCTATTTAAATGCGGAGTAGGTAAAAGATTTGGTTATTATTTTCAATTTCTAATATCTTTGAAACGTGATTGATTCAAATTGTGTAATTTACAGGAAAAACCTATCTTTATTTAAAGTAATAATACAAATAGAAAGATCTTTTTAATTTTAGTTAGTCTGAACTTAGTGGTTTGAACAGTATGGCCCCTGCAAGGACATATCAATCTGAGAAGCTCAGTGCTTAGAGAACCTGACTAGTAATGCAGGTTCAAATCCAGGTTTAGCCATATAAACTTTCTCTTTTTCTTTGGTGCGATTGACCACCCCAGGGATTGCAGGTGAAAGTCCTGTCAGCATGGTCAGGATAAAGACAATTTAAGGGGGGAGGAATGTAGTGGTTTGGGCTCTATGGACCATGAACATCGTTCTGGGTCATGGTGGTTTAGTGGTTTGAGCAGACAACTAGTAATGCAGGGGTCCTGGTTTAAATCTTCGGTCTAGTCATAAATTTTCTTTGTTACTGTTATAAATGTAAATATGTATAGCCACATTGTTTTTAATGTACATGTATGCCCATGCTGAATGCCATGCTTGATAATTTTACATGAATTTTGTTTCATATATACCAGAAAAAAATTTAAGCAGGTCACCAGGATTTCCAATCTTCTCATTGTCAACTCAGAATTTGGAATAGACCATTTCACAGTAACTGCAGTACTGCTCTTTTGCAAGGCAAAATGATACAGTTTGGTGAAATATGACGTAAAAGTAATTGTTAAATATACATCATTTGATAATCTGTCAACATAAACATTATTACTTTGTCTAGTTAGAATAATCTAACTGTGTCTCGGGACAAGCCCTCACCACAGTTAGAATACGTCCCATATACTTGCAATGTACCAAATCGGAGTGGATCCACTCCGAAATGATTTTGAAGAATACAAAAGGAGTTGCACTGAAAATAACTACCAAATTAATCATAACAAACCTTTTTGAGATTGTATATGCCTTTTAACCTAAAAAATAATCCATTTATATACGAAAATTCAACTCATTTTCTCAACGTTTTTTCCTCGCTTCAAATTTAACGCCATGTTGACATTCGGAACTCTCTGGATTGTTCATAGAAAATGCACAGAGTTCGAGTTATCGCCCGTGTTTATTTTGCTACATTGCGAATACAGGGAACGAATTCTATCGTTAAACCGGGTCCGTAGGACAATATCATTTTAACGATAGAACGTTCTATCTATACTTTGCCCTGCAAAAGAGTAGTGCCACAGTTACTGTGAAGGGGCTAATGAGATTGTCTCAGGCATCAGACTTCCTTTGAAACCTCCCTAACTGAATCAAAATCAATTATGGCTCTACTAAAACTTGCTAAGCAATTTTTTTCATGACATGACACATTAAGGATACAGTATCTATTATTTTGTTGAATTGGTTGACTTTTATATTCAGTTTGATTTATATGACGTCGCATTAGAGGCATAGGAGAAGGAAGGAGTGGCCTGTTGTTTGGAAGTCGTGGAATGTGACCTCTCTGATCCCACTTCTGGGGTGGAGGTGGGGTCGCCATGGGTCGAATTCTGTCGTATCTCAATGGTCCTATTCCATGATTGTAATCCCATGTTGAAGGAGCTTTCGTCTGATAATCTGAAATAAAATTTAGTGGTGGCCGCGGTCTGTACGATAAGTTCTGCCACACAGTGTTAATCCTGGTGTGACGAGCACCGACATTGGTTTCCACTAACGTATTCCCAATCAAATTTCTTTTGTTCAAGTTTTGGTGGTCGTCATGAAGATTATTTTCAGGTTCGTTGTCATCATCAGATAATTCTCCTTCTTCTTTTTGTGATCCACTGTCATTAGAACCCCCCATTTTGAAGGAAAACCCAAATTACTTCTAGTTCTAGACTTTCTTCTTTGGCTTTTCTCATGACACTGAACAATGGCGTAATTTTCATTTCCGGTAAGGATAACCAAACCCGATCGTTTTTCGTAACTTTCCCAAAAGTAAAGCAATCACTATCCATTGTACGTTTAAAGCTCCAAAGCAGGGGTCGTGTTATATCATTGAATTGATAAGGAAAATCAGAAAACCATGTTTGTTTTTACAAACTGTTGTATGAAGTTGATAGATTTTTTTTGTTTTTTTTGTTTTCGGATGCAAGTTGTTATATAAACGTCTTAGTGCGAAATGTTCATGGAAGAACTGTCTTTGTGCGATAGAGTGATCTTTTAATTTATTTTATTATGTAAATATATTAATTATTCATTTCAGTGACTTAATTAATATTCACGTATATCGTTTTATTTTTAGAATCGCGCAGCGTTTCGTTTTTGCGCGCACACCGTTAATAAAATATTGCAACATTACTAAGTTTTTCAATCTTATCGTTAACAAAGGAGCATATCGTGGATCTGATTCTAACCAGATTGGCAGAATGTATCAGGGACCTATATACTAATATAGGTACATATATATAGGTCCCTGAATGTACTTATTCTAAAGATATACTACTTCATTGGTCAGTTTTAATAGCTATGCTTTCCATTTGTTAGGGATGGTAATTTAAGCCCCCCCCCCCCCCCCGATTTCTGTGTTAAATCGGTCAGAATGTTATTGACCATTGAGATTGCGCGGATCTAGAGGGGAGGTCGGGGGGGGGGGGGTCCAGACATTACTTTAAGCATTTTAAGTGTATATATTAAAACAACTAAAAGTGACCTTGGACACCCCCCCCCCCTTCTGGAAAACGCGGAAATGTCATACTCATGAAGCTTGCTTAATACGAGTACTGTAGGTTTTTTACGTCTAAGAAAGGAGTTTACTTTGTGGGGGGGGGGGTTTATTTATTTATTTTATTTATTTAATTAATTAATTTATTTATTTATTTATTTATTTTTATTTTTGTCAAGAAATTTATGGGTTGGATGGGGGATTCCCTGGATCCGTGCCCGTTGAATTACAATTTTTTGGTTATTCATACATATTCTAATGAGGTCTCAGGACAGTGACTGTCATTTGACCTCTTTCCTTTATCTATTACTAATTCTAATACTACACTTTCCGAAAATCTATTCATCTTTGACTTTTGATGTAATTTTAGTAAGATATAGTGTTCAACTTTATAGCTATTAAATGAAGCTTAAAGTATAAATTCTTTGAGTATATAATTGAAGTATCAATCATGCAGTAGTGTACATAGAATATATGGTATAATACTAGTGATTCTACGATAAAAGGACCAATTTATGGTATATACATGTATCAAGAAAAATATTGCAAAGGATATATGTAAAGAATGTATTTATATAATATGTAATCAGTCATTCTACGATAAAGGACCAATTCAGGGTATATATCATAAAAAATAGATGACTTGTCTCAAATAGCTAACTGAACAACATAATTTTCTAAAGGACAAAGCAGTGCACTTTGTAAAAAAACGAACAAAAAAAAACAAAAAAACAAAAACAAAACAAAAACAACAAACAAAAAAAAAGAAGAAGAAGAAGAATTATCCACAAATCTCGTATCGTTAACAATTTACAACAAATTCGATAAACATGTTCCAATTTTTTTAAAGGAAAGTCGGGTATATTGTTGTCCGTCCGTCTGTTACACTATCTTCTTCCTCATACTGTTCTTACATTTGAAGCAGTTCATCCGTTGGAATATGATTGATGGTGATAAGAACATATGCAAATTTTCATTTTTTCCCCCATTTTCATCCTGGGGGTCAGATGGGGGTAAAAAAGTTTTGTTTTTTTTACAAAAACCCGGTCATGAATTCCTCTTACATTTTTCACAGTAGCACATTCATATTTTGGAATATGATTGAGAGTGTCATGTAAGACCTGGTCCCTGAACTCCTACATATTTTCGCAGTAGCCCAATCATAATTTGGAAGTAATTGGGAGTGTCCTCTAGATTTGCATTAAGATTGCATCATTTTGATTTTCACCCTGGGAGCAATTGGGGGTAAAAAAAATTTCTACGAAGACCTGGTTCCTGAACTCCTCTTATATTTTTGCAGTAGCCCATTCACATTTTGGAATGTAATTGGCAGTGTCCTTTAGATGTGCAATAAGGTTTCGAAAAATCGATTTTCACCCTGGGGGTGATTGGAGGTCAAAAACGACATTTTCTACAAAACCTTGTTCGCTGATCGACCTCATCTTATATTTTTCCCTTTTTTTGCAAAAGCCAACTCATATTTTGAAATATGATTGTTGGTCTCCAACGTGCAATAAGGTTTCGGAATTTTGAATTTCAGTTGGGCCCAAATGAGGGTCTTTTTTTTAAAACAAAAATCTAGTCCCCTGGGGCCTGTTTTACAAAAGAACTTACGAATAAGACCAGAAACTCTCGCAAATTGAAATTTTTTTTGCAAAATTAATGATTCCGTCTAAAATTGCTGGGGTAAAAATATCTTTCTACATTCCTTTTAAAAAGATCAAAATTCATTTTCAATTTAATGTAAATTAAAAAGTTATCAACAGAATTTAATTTTGGTCTTAGTCGTAAGTTCTTTTGTAAAACAGGCCCCTCAACTCCTCTTACATACTCTTTTGTACATTATAGAATTATTACGGCTTCTTCTATTGATACCAAAATATGAAGATAAGTACATTAAACGCAAACACCTAAGTTGTATAGATCTATATTTGTACACTACCATACCTGTTTCAGATGTTGTGCCTGACCTATACTTTCAAGATGAGTATTAGCCCCACCAGAACCAAACTAGCATGGGTGATGTATTTAGGGACAGACACTACCAGACTTGCTTTGGATAGTGGATCTTACCTACATTTTCCAGATGAGTGACCAGGATAATGTTTTTGGAGTTCTTTTATATCTATATTAAGGACGTAGCATCGTTTTTGAAAGTGGGGGGGGGGGCTGAGAAAAGAATTTCAATTTACCCCCCCCCCCCAACAACCTGACAAGCATTAAAAAAATTGTTCATACTGGAAAATGTTATTTCGTGGAGGGGGGGGGGGTTCCAAATTCTTTCAGTACCAAATTTTCTTCAAACACTACCACGTACATTACCCTTATTTTGACTATACTGCAACAAAAACCGGGAGAAGGGCTTTCAATGAACATTTTCAATAGTACCCCCCTCCCCCAACGTGCCCGTATATGGTCTGTTGTGATTTAACTTGCATGGATGATCCAACTAGGGATGGACACTACCAACCAGACTTGCTTCGGATACTACAACTGACCTCATTTTTTGGATGAGTGAATAGATTAAAGTTTTTGGAGAAGGTTCATTCCAAAGTACCTATAAAAACCAAATTTGCATGAATATTGATCTCAGGATGTACACTAACTAGAAATAATTGGTATTAAGTGTGTGTGTGTGTGTGTGGGGGGGGGGGGGGTCGTTACGGGTTAAACGTTACGGAAGTTAATTTTCAGCAGTGACAAATGTGTTTCGCTTACCGACTGAATTTATTTTGATATTCTTTTTTTTCCCTGTTAGCCTTCGTCTATCTATTAGCTTTTCACACCGTTGTACTTCTCTTAAACCATTAGACCAGTTTCAACCAAACTTGAAACCGAGAATCCTTGAGTAAATGGAATTATTTTTTTAAGGGGAAACGTCTCTTTTCAAGGTAAGAAAATCAAGAAAAGTCAAAAATGGGTGGGACTAGGGTGGGGCCACAATATGGGATCATTTTTTTATGGCGGTAGAGAGGGAAACAATCTTCTAAAATATGAAAAACAGCAGGACCAAGGTTACTTAGGTGAGCGTTGTGGCCCTTTAGGGCCTCTGAAATGTTGACCTTTCAGAGACATTTCAATGAATTAAGATACAGTGAACAACTTTCAAAACTCCCCGTATTTGTTGTTATACGTCCAACATCCCATTGACCTATTGCTTCTAGACAGAATTAAGAAAAACAAACAAACAAAAAACTACGCTTTCAAGTATGGTTGAACTTCTATAACTTAAACACGAGTTTGTCGAACACCGAAATATCCACAGTTTCACTTACTTCTTGATAACGGTTTGGTTTAAATATAGTAACACTGGTACTTGTATAATTAATCATTGAACACACTTATTAAAAGCTTGTGGTCGCCCGCGTGGCGCAGTGGTAGAGCGTGCCCGCGTGGCGCAGTGGTAGAGCGTCTGCTCTAGAGTAAGGAGTTAATTAATCCTTACGTCGCGGGTTCGAATCCCACTGTGGGACGTGGAGACCGGTCCTTCGGATGAGACCGTATAAACCGAGGTCCATGCAGTGTCGCAGTAGATGCTGGCACGAAAAAGATCCCTCACTGCTCAATGGCCCTGAGTGTCGAGTATAGGTCAAAATTTGCAGCTCTCCACCGCCAAGTGGTGTCGTCTCCATATGAGTGAAAAATTCTCGAGAGGGGGACGTTAAACAACAAACAAACAAAACATAAAAACTTCTGAAAACTTAATTATTCTGAATGTTTCGTTTGGTTAGCAGAACCCCCCCCCCTTTATCTGGATTAAAAGATAAATAATACAATATACTTTTGGGGAAAACACATTATAAACAAGTAAGACCAACTTATTCCACTCCTAATGATTAAAAAGAAAAGCTGCTCTTTAATGTACAGTTGAAAAAAATATACATCTTTCACTGAAATTTTTGAAACATCATTTAAAAAATTCATCGTGACCAGAAATGACCCTAAGTTCTTCATTCGAATTCATATTAAGAATGAAAATGTCTATTGTCATTCGCGTTGCACTCAGATCCACACATTCCCCACACATTATTTGTTGTTGTTGTTTTTTTTTCAGAACAAGGCGCGTGTCTTTGCTACATGTTGACGTTTACTGGGAACATTTTGTAAGGATATGATGTAATTTTACTATGATCCTTTGGTAGGTTTGATTATAAGGCGTTCACCCATGATATTTCACAGATGCTTTGGGTAATAATTAACACAGAGAACAATATCC